GCTGACACACAAATTGAGTTTGTTTCAATGTGTCCGGGGCAAAATGTGTGCTGTGTATTTCATTCTGGTTTGAAAGGCAGTGGGGTCTGCTGTGCAGCTCTTGGCCAGGGCATGAGCAGTGACAGTCACAGAAGAAGACTTTTGTAGAGTGAGGGATAGGGAAAGGACCCCTGAACGGTTCAGTCCAGTCAAAGTCAACTATGGGGTTGTAGAGCTCATCTCGCTTTCAGGCCGAGGGAGCCAGCATTTGTCCATAGACAGCTTTCCACGTCATGTGGCCAGCATGACTAAACCACTACTGGTGCACAGAACACCATGACGGAAACCAGAGCGCACAGAAACGCCGTTTACCTTCCCACCGCAGTGGTACCTATTTATCTACTTGCATTTTTGGCGTGCTTTCGAACTGCTAGGTTGGCAGAAGCTGGGACAGAGCAACAGGAGCTCACCCTGTTGCGGGGATTTGAACCACTGAACTTCTGATTGGCAAGCCCAAGAGGCTCAGTGGTTTAGACTACAGCACCACTTAGGAACCCCTGACTTACTTACTTACTTACTTACACACACACACAAAATCAGGATTGAGATATCAGAATTATTCCCTCCCCCAAAGTTTTGCAAATAAAAGATGGTAGAGGCAGACCACAGAGGTACTAGGCAGATGAAAGGGCACACAGTGAATTCTCAATGTCACATGTGTATAGACTACATATGGAAATTCAGCAAACTGTATAACTTCCAAGAAACTGGATTGGGTTTCCCAATAGGTTGGGGAAATATAGCTGAGTTTCCTGTTTGCAGGCAAGGGCTTGGGCAAACTGACAGGTGTCCAAAGGAAGCTGGGAGAAAATGGGGTCTGCCTAGCTGGGCTGAAGAGTCATGCTGGAGGTTGCTTGATACAAAAGCCTTTGGGACTAAAAAGAGTGCTGGCCAACTGGGAAGGAAGTATAACACTGACAAAACAAGTGGTCCTCTCAGGCTTCCCTCCCAGGTTGTCAGCACCCCGGACAGAGCTAAAGCACCCCATGGCTTCTGGAAAGAAGAAGAAGAGGAGGTGGAGGAGGAGGAGTTTGGATTTGATATCCGGCTTTATCACTACCCGAAGGAGTCTCAAAGTGACTAACATTCTCCTTTCCCTTCCTCCCCCACAACAAACACTCTGTGAGGTGAGTGAGGCTGAGAGACTTCAAAGAAGTGTGACTAGCCCAAGGTCACCCAGCAGCTGCATGTGGAGGAGCGGAGACGCGAACCCGGTTCACCAGATTACGAGTCTACTGCTCTTAACCACTACACCACACTGGCTCTCACCTGAGGTAGCATTCAGCATCATGTGAGATGCCCTCTCCAAGCCAGCAAGCAAAGTACCAGAGGCTCCAAAGGCCCCTGTGGTAATCCAGAGGCCTCCAGTGTACCCTGTTTTTCAGTGAGGGTGCTCACTGAGCCTGAAGGAGCACCTCGTATGACATGCAGCAGCACATGAAATGCAGCTTCTGATTTGGTGGGCTCCCTAGGCAAAATGAGACAATTTCACAGAGGCCCCTGTGATAATTACTGGTATGTGTTTGTTTGTTTGTTTTGCCTGGGTTTGATTTTTGGCATGAAAGCAATCTTTCCAAGGGATGGTGCAAGACAAAGGACTTTCCATGCAAAATCGCTTTTCATGCGAAACAACACACAGTGCAATCCCTGCCTGTCTTTTGGCAAGTACTGTACCTTGCGCTGCTAGTTACCTCCTTTAAAATGCCAACTACGCATGTGAAGGAGACAATCAACAGTGCCATCAGGACTTACCAGAAGAGGGGAATGGATCATGCTGTGCAATGGTTCCTTTAAAGGAGGAAAACTGCCACTTTAGATGAGATGATCCACTGTGGGATCCACAGCATGATCCCTTCCCCTCTCATTCCAAAGTGCTTGTGATGAGAGTATGAAGGATCACACTGTGGGGAGAGATGGAAAAAGCTGCTAATTTCAATCCTTTCCTTCTTTCAATTGTAAGTTATTGTTTAGTCTGTCACATTTCCACATCGTTTTACATATTTTTACATCATTTATAGTTTACATATTTCTTTAAAAAAAGGAATGTCAACATTCATCAGCACTTTTAGTGTGCATTGTTCCACAAAATTTGCTTAAAAAAATTAAAATGGCCATTTTGTGCTCATTTTTAACACAAAATACACATTTCTGTACACACACATGCACACAATTGCATTGCAAAATTCACAGACATGAACATTTCAGAGAATCATAGCATCACAGTTCACTTCTTTCCATCAGGAAAATGATCATTAGTTAAGTTTGTGTTAAAATGAGAACTGAACTGAGGGATGTGCCATTTAGAATGGCAGATGAGACATGTTTAGCACATGCCTGGGAAGATCACTGAAATGGGGAGTGTTTTTCTTTTTTCAGAGTGGGGCAGATTTTATAAACATCCCAATCTGCCTAATTCCATGTCGGCAGTATTCTGGGATGATGCACAGGTTTCCCTCTGTTTTAACTCAGACGGTATCAGCTAATTAAGCACTTATACAATCACGAGTGCTTTTGCTCTCAAGGCTTCTTCCCAGGTGGCCCCTATGGAAGGAAAAGATGCAGCTCCACATTCAAAACTCTCAATCCTGATGTTTTCTGGGGATTTCAGGGCAGTTTTTCAGGGGGGGTTCAGTTGTTGTTTTCTTGCTTTTCGAATGGAAGTCTAGGGATTTGCCCATCCTAGCTATCCCCAAGGAGACGCAACATGTTGATGAAGCATATCTTCAGGGTTTCCTGCAATAGCAGGTGCTTTTTCTATTGTTTTCCAGAATGGATGCTTGTGAACTGGAGTTACTGGCAATACTTAAGTTACTTTAGTGAGACATTCAAGCACTGTGGTTACTTTATCACCACACAATCAGGGAGGACCATGATACATATAGTACAATATTAAGAGGGTAATACGTGGCCCATCCTTCAGCACACTGTGCCTCTAATCCATGAAAGATCTATGCATCAGTTCCCATTAGTCAAGTTGTGATCTGTGCCTAAAACTGCCAAAAACATGGGGCGGGGCAGGGGAGAGGATGAAAGAAGATCAACAAATCCAATAAGTATGCAATTTAAGTTAAGTCTCTAAATGAAAACAGCAGCAACAACAAAAGAGGATGGAGCAAGTTAACCATGCTCAGGTGAATGTTCCTGCTGTTAGATAACCCTCAGGTAGAGTGCAGCTATACTACATCATTAGTAGAAAAGACTGCTGGATCAGGCTAATGGCCCATTTAATCCATCATCCTGTTTTCACAGTGACCAACCAGATGCCTATGGGGAATCTGCAAGTTCTCAGTCCCACTGCTGGACAAATGCTGTGTGAAAGCAGAAAGATGCTATTCTATCTACCACTGTCTTCTCCAAAGGGCTCTTTTGCTTCCTTCTCTCTGTTCTCTCCCCAGTCCCTTTTCATCTCAGTCTTCAGTTCTCCAGAGTCTCCACAGAAACTTCCTAAAAATTCCCTCAGCTGTCTTGGGCAGCTCCTCAAGGCTGCCTTCCAGGAGTTCCACCATCCAGTAGTACTTCTGGTTATGTACTTAATTCATTCCGGAGGTCCGTTCTTAACCTGAAACTGTTCTTAACCTGAAGCACCACTTTAGCTAATGGGGCCTCCCGCTGCTGCCACGCGATTTCTGTTCTCATCCTGAAGCAAAGTTCTTAACCCAAGGTACTATTTCTGGTCTGTAACCTGAAGCGTCTGTAACCTGAGGTACCACTGTACAGGTTTACCTAGGTAGAGAAATTCTGTGCAGGTTCCTTTAAAGCAGCTGGCTTAGTGTATTCAGTCTTCCGAATGGTAGCTGCACATGTGCAGAATGGGGTGAAATCCCATTTGATAGCCCAACCTGAAAAACATAACTTTTTTTTGCAGGGTGGATAGAAAATGGGGTTCCAAGATATTTTGCTACCTAAAGAGCATCAGCCAACGGCATCCTGTGCCCTCACTTAAGCTGCATAATATTCAAGGCAGGCGAATTATTTTGGCACCTGAGACAGAAAATTTCATAAATTCCTCTCTTCTTCCCTGGCAGTAAAGACAGAAAGCCATCTTATACTGTTAAACCAATGGTGTATTTGGATGCCCTTTGGGAGTAAGGGTGGGGTATGCATTTAATGAACGAATTGTTAGTGTAATTCAGAAAAAATGGGTGAAATTGCATTAACTGCTTGGGACCTGTCTCGTGGAGGCCATCTCCCACATCTGGATTCTGTTTAGAGAAAGATCCAGTTGCACTGGGTGGTTAGAAACAGTCCAAGGTCAAGGAGCCTAAAGCATGACTTGTCCACCCTCCCTTTCTCTGAGGAATGTGTCCACATGGCGTGGCAGGTTTAACTGAAGTATCAGGTATTTGCCAAGTGTGAGGGTTCATCATCTTGGTGAAGGTTAAGTGCTATAGGGAGATGGTATAGCATGGTGAGCTAGCATGGTAAAGTGTGAGTGGATCTCTCCATAAACTTTGATCTTTGTAAGAACAGAGAACTGTATTATAGTAGATTAGTTTGTACCAGCATCTCTTAAAGTTTATGCACCTAGTGTGTTTATGCTTGTCTTGTACTATGAGACAATAGACACTTTATATTTTGAACTGAACTGTGAGGGAAATGGGTTTTCTTAACTAGGAGCTCTGGAAAAGGCTGACTACTACTAGGAAGCAGGAAAACTGTGACATTCTGCTGGAGCTGTGCATACTCTTCTGATCACACTGCTCGAAGTGTGGTGTGGTATCAACAACAGATTATTATTATATTTATTATTTATTAAAATTATATCCCTCCCTATACCCGGAGGTCTCAGGGTGGTTCACATAATAAAATCAAAATATAAAACCACAAAATACATAATCAGATGGTGGGCCAACTGACTTCTACAAGTCTAACATGAATAAATAGAAATAACTAGCATTGTCTACAATGACTAACGTAGCAGCTCTTTAGGGTTTCAGACAAGGGTCTCTCCTAGCCTTACCTGGAGATGCCAAGGATTGAACGTGAGACTTTCTGAATGCAAAGCAGATGCTCTACCACTGAGCTATGGCCCTTCCTCACATATAACAATGATGAGCAAATCACTCTGCCTAACAGTAGGGCATAAAGGGTATTTGATTTTGTGACGTGACCAAGAATTATGGGCTGGAGAAATCTGCCTTCCAAGCCAGGGAATTGTGATGATTGGTGAAATTGGAAGTTTGGGCTCTGATTTTTTTCATGTGTTTATGGGCTTGCTGATAGCAGACGTTGCGTTCTCCATAGCTGCATTCCACACAGGAAAAGAAAAACTTTGCAAACTAACTCCCCACTACCCCTGCCTGCCTGCCAAGTTGTGTCTTCCTTGCCAGCCTCACCTGCTGCGTAACTGCATGACAAGCCTGGCAGGCGGGATCGCCTTGTAGCTGCTGTACAGGCATTCGACAGATAGCAGGACCCGTTTGTCTTTTTTCACTGACAGCGTTTCCTCCTGGCTCCATGTGCAGCGTCACAACAGGCTTAACAGGGCTCTCGACAGCAGCCTGGCCATTAAAGTGACATGTCGCCATAATCAGGGATTTCCACCTACTAAGAACAGAGAATCGCTCATGTTGTTGTTGTCCTGATTACAGCTCTGATCCAAAGACTCCTGCCGACTCAAACAGGACTTTCGGCTCAAGGCTGGAGAACATCTGATTGCATTGTTTGTAGGCTGCTCAGCTGGGAACCTGCTGCCCTCATTTTCATTTTGTTTATTTTGGTCACTTTAAGTGCTTTATGGATTTAATAAACACACGCCCAAATCAGTCATTTAATGGGATTATTTGATGGGTAGTGGCACATGCTTGAACAGAAGTTGGTTTGATTAGCTTTGCAAAATATCTTTGTTAATTGCATCTGTTGGCACATTCCTTCACAACATAAAAAGCAGTGCATGAAATGCTATAAGCCGGAGCTTAGGGGAACAGGAAGATTATCACACACACAAACACACACACACACACACACACACACACAGAGAGAGAGAGAGAGAGAGAGAGATCCCCCAGTGCTTTCAGTTTTATCCAGCATCTTAAAGCATGTCCATTGGATTAACACCCCCCCACACACACAACAGAATCCTTGAGTGTTCTTGTGCAAATAGAACATATTTGTTTTTACTTTAGCAAAACTAAAGAGGGTAAAATGATCATACTTATTTAGCTCATTAGTCGTTATTTTTACCAGATTTATTTCACCAGATGGTCCCAGAGTGGGCTGTGCAGAACATCACAATTTCAAACAATGAACAATGCACTACAACTGTATGTCAACACGACCAAACTACCTTTTTTGGGGGGGCGGGCAGAATTGTGCATTACTTGGGAGACTCATGATGGGTTCTTTTGACATTCTGAATTTGTATTTATTTGCTTATCTTATTTAGAAGATTTCCAAGCCACTATTCTTTAAGAATAATAGCAGAGTGGGGGGTACAATGTAACAAACATAATAAAATACAAAGTATGCAAATCAAGTGAAAGTTTCCAACACCAAGAGTGGCATTTTATAGAAAGAAACCATAGGAAGGACAACAACCCCATTTTGCTTGTGGAAACGACTGGGGAGGGGGCCATAAAAGTCCCCCCCCTGCTATTTCCATGTTCTAAATCACCCCCTCTCAGCTTATGTTTGCTTTGCTGGGTGCAGAATTCAGATACCTCTGCTTCCTTCCTATGGGATAACCAGCAGCTGATTGGATTGGCGTGCCAATTTAGATGGGAAAACTGAAACAGAGGGGAGGAGTTAAATATCCCCCTTTCCAGTTGTGAACAAAATCGTAGTCCCCAATTATGCTGTGTGTGTCATCTCCCAGACAGCACAGCTGATCTGCATTTCAGTAAATAATAATAATAATGTTTGAGAGATCCAGCACAACCTGTAGATTGGCTCTTACAGAGGGATTTCAGGAGAGAACTGGCCGCCTTTCCTGGATAATGATTGGGAAGGTAGTTACAGGCAGAGCTTGCAATGGATTTTCTTCTTCAGATATAAAACCTTCTGACTTCTCCCCAGCTAGTTCTCTCTGTGTTTCTTTGGTGAGACCTGCAAAAAGCCATCAAAACTGTGGCAGCCGAAAACATATCATTACTTTATTTAAAATATTTATTATCCCATTTTTCTGCCTGTTTGTTGGCCTCCAGCAAGGCAGCTGACAATCAGTGAAAATGAATACAGAATAACAATGATGGGAAATGTTCCTTCCCAGGGTCTTAGATGTTTCGGCTGCTGTGACTGCTTCAACTGCTGCTCTTCATAGATTCCTTGGTGACCATAGGATGTGCATCAGAGATGGGGGGCTGCATTCCTTTATCCCCAACCTCCCAGGGGCCACATGCCCAAAGGGGGTGTAGCTAGAGACAAAAGCGAATGGAACAATGAAAGGTAAATTTTACCTTTGTACAGTAGAGAGCCAGTGTGGTGTAGCTGTTAAGAGCGGTAGTCTCGTAATCTGGGGAACTGGGTTCGCGTCTCTACTCCTCCACATGCAACTGCTGGGTGACCTTGGGCTAGTCACACTTCTTTGAAGTCTCTTAGCCCCACTCACCTCACAGAGTGTTTGTTGTGGGGGAGGAAGGGAAAGGAGAATGTTAGCCACTTTGAGACTCCTTTGGGTAGTGGTAAAGTGGGATATCAAATCCAAACACCTCTTCTTCTTCTCCTTCTTCTTCTTCTTCTTCTTCTTCTTCTTCTTCATCTTCTAGTTTAGTTGTTACATCTTCCATCTTCCATCTTCCATCCAGGCAAGCAAGAGTCATTATCAGAGTTCAGGGACTCATTCCAGGCAGGCAATAAAAACACAAGGAAGGTATGAAGCAAGTTTGTTGATGTGTGTGGCTTGTTGAAAGTTCTGGAGGGCTAGTTAGAAAGTCCTAGAGGGCTACATTTGGCCCTCAGGTATGAGATTCCACACCCCTGATACACTCTTCCCTGACCTTCCCATGGAGCCCAAAGCAGCTATGCCACTGGCTTTCCTCATTTCACCAGAAGAAGAGGGCAGGAGAGAGGAAGTGAAGGCAAATCACTTTGCAGGAGATGCAAAAATAAAAAGGAAAAGAGAGGATCAGGGTTTAAAGAGCTACAAAAAGGTTTGGAGAAGGAACTTAGCTGGGTTCACATTTTATGGTGAACCTACCAAATCCACTCTTTCCAAAACAATATGTGCACTGAAATACAGCCATCCTTTCAAATTTGCGTATCTTTGAATCAGAGCTGTAGTTATGGGGAGGGGCTAGCTGGGTCTTCACCCCAAGTGAAGCATCCAGAAGGCCACCATTGAGGTTCCCAGTCTGTTTGTGTGTGTACGCAACTGCACATGTGGTGTGTGTGTGTGCCAAACTGGGTCTTTGACCCAGGTGAAATAAAGCCTAGTTTTGCCTCGCTCTGAATTTTGCAATGAAGTTCTCCAACCAAGTGATGCGTACAAAAATATATATACTAGGGTAAAGTGTGCATAAAATTACATGTGAAAACAACAATCACAATACATTATATTGAGGAAGACTGTCTTGCAAAAATGTGTATGTTACTCAAAATTGCTCGCAAAAATGCACATATTAGCAGAAATTTGCACTAAAATGCTGATTAAATTTCATGATGACTTTTTTTCTTTTTAAAAGCAATTTTTAAACTGATGTGGAAATATGGGTAATTGATTTAAGATGGAAAAATGAGAAACTGACAGATTTCTCCATTCCTAGTTACAAAAATTTGGACAAGGTGCCATGAAATGTAGACTACCATTCCTGTTTCAGGATTTTTCTCTCTCTTTCATTTCCAGATCCAGAAATTTCTGTATCCAGAGTTTGCTGAAGTCATTTGGTAGCTGTAGGCGAGTCTCCCTCTCCCAGCTGCCCATATAGGGGCTACTTATTTATGCACCAAGTGCATTTATTAAACTATTTATATACCTTGTTTTTCTGAGAACAGTTATTTAGGTGGCTTACAAAACAAACACAATAAGAGCTGTTCGACAGTGGAATGAACTACCTTGAAAAGTGGTGGGCTCTCCTTCATTAGAAGTTTTTAAATAGAGGTTCAATGATCATCTATCAGGGATTTTTAGCTGTGATTCCTGCATTGCAGGGGTTTAGATTATATGACCCTTGGGGTCCCGCCCAACTTCACCGTTCTGTGTTTCTGTGAAATTAATATAGCATCAGTGATACAGCAGGGTATTTGCACGGTTGTTGTAAAGCAGGGATGGGAAACCTGTGTCCCTCCAGCCACAGTCGGACTCCCATAAGCCCCTACCAGCAAGGCTAATGGTCAGAAATGATGGGAGTTGTAGTCAACAGTCTACACAGCAGACTGTTATTGTGTGTGTATATACACACAGTGCTATTTTCTTAAAAAAAAAATATGTTTTCCTACTCATATTGAAATACTGCCCCTCAAGGAGGCGAAACTTAGATTCACAAAATGTTTAGAGGTATGTGTACCCCTGCGTCCCCCCAGAAAAAAGCACTGTGTGTGTGTGTGTGTGTGTGCGCACATGCTGCAGTCCAACAAAGTGTGGAGGGCCACAAATTCCCCACTGACATGGCAGAGGACACAAGCTAATGTCATCTCTGCTTTATCTCCATAGATGATTGGAGAGAATTGCTTGACATACAAGCAGAAGAAAAGTATGAAATGCTCAGCCTCTTAATGAATTTGTAAGGGACCATGTAACACAGATGATTAAATATACAAACCATTTGAAATTGTCAGCACCTTGCATTTCGTGGATGAATAATCAGAGTTCTGAAGAATTTAGTTATATCTGGCTTTGATTCAAATAATATGGGGAGATATAAGCTTAATGCTAATATGTCTGCTGCGCCTAGACCCCCTGGAGGAACTTCACAAGGAATGAGCAAAGAGGCTTGGAATGACAGCATGCAGATCTGAAGACATTAATCATATAGCATAGTTTTTAAGTCTGCAATCCCATACCCACTTCCTTTGGAGTAAGGCCCCATTGAACTCAATGGAATTTTCTTTGGCGTAGACCAACATAAGATTGCACTGTAAATTCCTCGCAAACTGTGT